GTCTTGGCGTCAAGGAACCTTTATTCTTTAAGAGGTTATGGAGGGTGTAGTACCGAAGACCTTTTAGCTCTTACTCATGGAGCCTGTGGTTATAGTAAACGGCATGAGAATGGGAAATTAGCGTTGATAATCAACTGACCCCAAAATAGGGGGAGCTGTGGAGGGGACAGACTCTGGGACTGTTGAGCTACCTCCATGCTATGCAGAAAGCCCCATGGATACAGCTATTGTGAGTCTTCCTCTATGTTTGGATGGGTTGTAGCACAAATAATAAAAACCCAGAGACAGATGTTGGGGTTCAAGCTGAAGATCAGAAAAGCAAAGCAGCCCGCCACTAGAGAGTTCTTACTTCTACCAAGGCTGGGGTGATCCTGACCTCAGTATGATGGCAGACTGAATACAGACCAAGACCCTGAGCTCCTGTCTTATAGTCCACTCTAGTGCTGGGATTAAGGGCATACACCACTCACCTAGCCTCCATGGTTAACTAGTGTGGCTGCTGGGATTAAAGGTGTGTACCACCACTGCCTGGCCTCTAGGCAAACCAGGTTTGTTGAAACTCAAGTGGTAGTGAACGTCTTTAATCCCAGCACTCGGGAGGCAGGGGCAGGCTGGTCTCTGAGTTCGTGGCCAGCCTGGTCTAAAGAGTGAGTTTCAGGACAGCCAGGCTACACAGAGAAGCCCTGTCTTGAAAAACATAAACAAAACAAAGAAATAAAATCAAGTGATGTCTGCAGGGCTTCTAGCAAGGACACTGACTTAGGTGACTCTGTAAAAGGACTGCTCTGAAACTCCTGTTCTGCAGAAGTTGGAGCATGAATGTTCTGACTCTTGGACTTCAGGACTGCAGGCACAATCTAAGACCCAAGAGACATGTCTCCCAGGAAAAAGCAAGACGGAGCCAAGAAATTAGCCAATTTGCGAAACTGCAAGGGGAAGAGGAAAATGCGGATGTCAACTTATAATCAGTACAAATAAAAACACTGTGGATGTCAACTTATAATCAGTACAAATAAAAACACATCATAATTGCAAATGAGAATAAAAGCAAGCTTTAACCATGAAGGGATAGTTTTATAACAAGGAAATACAGTTGTAAAAATGAAAGAAATGGGATCTTAGTGCACCACACAACTCCGTTACAATGTGCTGTCATAACCCTACACACATGGAGTGTATGTACATGTATTCAGTAAGAATCATGATACAAATACAGTTTAGGAGTAAGAAAAATGTATGCTTAGCTAGCATGAGAGAAAACCAGGTAAGCATATTTAAACAATAAACAAGAAATCTGTATCATCAGAAAATTAAGAGTTCATTGTTATGGCTGTAAAATGGGTTGGGGTAAGGAGAGCTTTGCCATCCTTTGTTATGACCCTTGTAGAACCAAAGTGTAAGAAGTACGGGTTTTTCCACCCACCTTGGGCTGCATTCCCAAGCAACCCGACTCCCGGAAGACCCGGGCCGGCGTGCCGGGGGCCGCTACTGGCCTCACACAGTCCACAGGCTGGGCCTCGATCAGAAGGACTTGGGCCCCCCACGAGCGGCGCCGGGGTCCTTATACCGAAGTATTTAACTTTTACTATTCTTGTCTATTATTTTCATTTGAGGATGACCTATATGCTCTAGAGATATTTACCCGGAAATAAAAATGGGCATTTTCCCCAATATACTATTTCATTATTTCAACACACACAAATAGGCTAGTTCATGATACAGCTGGTCTACTGGCTAGAAGGTATAAGGATTATTATTTATGTTATCTTTACTCTGACACGTTCAGATAAAATCTTGCTTCTTTCGCTGGCATTAGCATATTTTCCTTTATTGTTAAGTACAAGTGGATCACTAAAATGAGTTATGTCAGGCCAACTCCGAGGGTTTTATTGTTGACCAGGGACATTTGGCAATGCCACAGAAGGTTTGGTGGGTGCTTCTGGCATCTGAAAGGTTGAAGTCCAAGATGATGCTAAGCCTACTACAATGAATGAAGCAAACCCCAGAACAAAGGTGCACCCAGCCCCAAATGTCAATAGTGTGGAGGCTGAGAAACCCAGCTCTGTGTCTTTGAGGATTACTTCCTCAGAAGTCTATGCATAAAGATGATATGCAAACATCTTGCAGTTCAGGCTTGACTCCAGCTTAAATGCTTCGCCACAATGTTGGAGGAAGCCTGGTTGTGCAATGTATCTTCGGGAATACAGGGAATGGTAAAGTCAGGACAAAAGGTATAATAAGCAATAACAATAACAAAATGGAGTGCTTTGTTCCTTAACAATCTCTTTCATCCACGATTCCCCGGCCACTTTATAGACTAGAAACTGCTCTGGTTCTCACATATTACCTTTTATCTAAGGACCAGAGGCAACTTTCACAATGCTCTTAACATGTAGGAAGTATCATTATCTCCATTTTATATGCAGGTAAACAGAGGCACAAAAGTTAAGCAACTTACCCAAAGCCAAGCCAGCCAGCACTCCTGACTCAGAGCCGATTAATACTAAGAGATGCAATGATGCAATGATAAACTTTTTTTTCATAAATGTTACCCTTGTTCATTCAAGGTCTGTTGTTTTCAGGTTAATGTATATTCGTTTCCTCATCTTTTTTTTTTTTTTTTTCCTCTTCTTCCTCTTTCTGTCTCCCTGTTCAGAAACCCAAGACAGTTTGATATCTAATTAACAGGAGTGGTCCTTGAATCAAGCATGCTACAATCAGAGTCAACTCTTAAAACAGCTTTAAAATATATGGTACTGTTACTGATTTTATAGTAAAGAAGGCTACTGAATTTCAGAGAATTTAAACATATGCTAAAAATCTGTGTGGTAAATTATGTATGTGTATCCAGGCTGAGCATGATCTTTCCAGAATAGTCTACAGTCCCTCCCAGAGTCCCTCTGGTAAATAATGAATAAATGCGAAAGTTTTATAGTCAGAGTCCATTTTGTCTCTTTTGTTTTTGTTTTTGGAGACAAGGTTTCTCTGTGCATCCCTGACTGTCATAGTACTCAACCTGTAGACCAGGCTGGACTCCAACTCACATAACAAAATGGAGTGCTTTGTTCCTTAACAATCTCTTTCATCCACAATTCCCAGGCCACTTTATAGACTCTACCTCCTGAGTGCTGAGTGCTGGGGTTAAAGACCAGAGCTTCCACAGCCAGGTTCATTTCCACTCTTAAAAACTCAGAAAACAAAAAACCCATGATTCGGAGAGACTTACATGGTGCACCTCGGTTTGCACCGGCTAGACAAGTCTGTTTTAGTCTTGTCTCAGGGGAGACCTTTTACCAAGCAACTTGGTAAGCGTTCTCCAGGTTAACATGTTCAGCCCAAATGGCAGGCCAAGGATTAGAACTGTTTCTGAGGAGCAGAGAGCCTGTGAGTCATTGTCGCCTGTCCCCATTGCTGTGGTAGGTATCTGTAGTGTGCCACCTGAGCAAAATGAGAAAGGTTTGTTAGGTCAGCCTGTGTGACTCACACTCTTTTTAGGAAACGAAGGGATGACTTCATTTCACAGCCCCTGACAATGATGCACTCACTCTGTCATTGCATGGATGCGAGGGATCAGTGGGGGCCCATTCACCCCGGATCTAGAGACCTTAGAGTGCACGCTGTTGAGGATGGACTCACCCCTGAGAATAGTAGGGAATGGGCGCGGGGGGGGGGGGAGACAGAGAGAGACAGAGAGAGACAATCCAGCTTTACGACGTTGGTGGGAGATTTGCAGCCAAATCCGTCCATAAGCAGGGTGGAGATGGCACGGGATGAAGTGTAAATACGGTAAAGTGGTTAAAAGTTTGAGAGAATAACAAAGTCTTGATAATTCATTCTAAAAAAAAAAAAATCACCTTCTCCCTTTAAGCTACCTCCCTCTTAGGGCGACACTGGCTGTTTTGAAGGGGCTTGCCGGGTTTTTCGGTGTCCCACCCACCACCCCCTTGCATCTGGAAAGGGAGGGACGAGGGGAAAGGGGCGCGTGGGTATTCCCCCACCCTGGCGAGCCAGGTCCTGAATCATCGCTGGCTGGTGGCACTTGCCTTCAGCAATTCACAACTTTCCCTAGAATAACACGGTCTTGTACTTAAAAGGAAGAGAGTGGTGGGAGACCCGGGAGCGGCGGGGGGGGGGTGAGGAGAGGGGCGTGGAGCGGCCCGTTCCCGCCCCGGATTCCCGAGAGCTGGAAGAATGAGGTGTCCCAGCCACTGGCGCCCCAGCCGCGCCCCGGGGAGGGAGGGAGGGGGAGGGAGGGGGAGGGAGGGGGCGCAGCGGCGGCGGGGCGGGGCGGGGCGGGGCGGCGCGCACCTGGGCGCGGGGCGGGGCGTGGCTTCGGCGGCGCTCCCTCCCCCTCCCACCCCTTTGTGGCCGCAGGGACTCGGCCCTTTCCGCCCCGCTTCGGTCCCGCTCGGCTCCCTCCCTCCCTCCGGCCCGGGACAGCCCCCGACCGAGCTCCGGCGGGCGAGCTTGCAGCGCGCGGCCGGTCGTGCGCGTCCCGAGCGCTGGCTCCGGCTGCTCACCTGGGCAAGCCTCATCCCCGCCCCGCGCGCGCCGTGTCCCCGCTAAACTTCTCGGAGGTTAGTAAAGGGGCTCCCGGGGTCGCCCGCGGGGGGACCCGTGCACCCCCACCCCGTCCCCCTCCGCCGGACACGTCCGCGCCGGTTCCAGCCGGGGTGGAGGGAGGCCCGGGGTCCCCCATGCCCCGTCCCGGAACGGAGGCAGGGCGTCCGCGGCGCCGGGGGCTCGGGCCCGCGCGAGCCGAGAGGAGTCGCGGGGAGGTCGGCACGCAGGTGGCAGCGGCGCGGGGGTCCCGGCCCCGGGTGGGCGGGAGGGTGGCGGGGTGCACGGCGGAGGGAGGCGAGCCGTGGCACTGAGTGAGTCGCCTGGGGGCTGGCGGGGTGGGGGGGGACGCCGAGGGGGAAGCGATCGCTGCCCCGGGACCTGACGCCGCGCCCCCGCGTGTGCTCCCCCTGCAGAGCCTCGGTCCCTCGGTCGCTCGGTCGGACCGGGCAGGCGGCGGGAGTCGGGGCGCGCGGCGCGAGGGGCGCCCCCCGCCGGCCCCTCCGGGAACATGGCGACCGGCGGCTACCGGAGCGGCGGCAGCACCACCGACTTCCTGGAGGAGTGGAAGGCGAAGCGCGAGAAGATGCGCGCCAAGCAGAACCCCGCCGGCTCGGGCTCGGGCGGCGGCGACCCGGCCGCCAAGTGCCCCGCGGGGCAGCCGTCCCCAACCGCGGCCGCCACCGCCGGGGGCTCGGAGCTCAGCAGCAACCACGGCCCCGCGGGCGCCGCCGCCGCCGCACCTGCCGCCCCCGGGCCCAGCGCCCTGAACTGCGCTCTCGGTGCCTCCGCGTCTGCGCTGCCCCGCTCGGCTCCCGGCTCCCGGCGGCCCGAGGATGAGTGCTCGACCTCGGCTGCAGCCGCCGGGGCGCCGGCGTCCCGGGGCGGCGAGGAGGAGTCGGACGGAGCCCCGGAGAAGGGGCGCAGCTCGGGCCCGAGCGCCAGGAAAGGCAAGGGGCAGATCGAGAAGAGGAAGCTGCGTGAGAAACGGCGCTCCACCGGAGTGGTCAACATCCCCGCAGCGGAGGTGAGCCGGGCGGTGCGGGGCAGAGTCGGTGCGGGGCAGGGCCGATGCAGGGCGGTGCGGGGACCGGTGCGGGGCAGGGCGCGCGGGGCCGGTGCGGGGCAGGGCGGGCAGGGGGCGGTGCGGTGCGGGGCAGTGTCGCTGCGGGGCCAGTGCGGGGCTCTGGCTGGGGCACCTCCATTGCCTTCCACCACCAGGGAGCTCCCTCGGTCCGGGTCCGGGTCCGGGGCGCCCAGGTCCCTTCCACTCCGTCTCTTGGAGCCCCTGATGCAGTTTTGACTTTGAGCAACTGATTCCCAGGAAGGACGCGTGCTTTTTTTTCTCCTCCCTCGGAACCCGGGGTTCCGACTTTAGGGAGACACTTGGGTGTCCCCAAGATTTTTTTTTTGCCAGCCTAGACCCTCCCCCTCCCCCGTGGGGTTGGGTGGTCAGGTAGGAAGAGCGGTTCGTGGAGGTGATGACGCGTTCTGGTTTCCCACGCGTCTGTCCGTCTCGGGCTATCAGGTTGTTTTATCTGCACTTTCCCGGGAGTGTTTGCAAGGAGAGCACCTGTAAAGACACCTTAACCTTGGCGATGCCCAAGGCAGCGTTCCCTCGCAGGGAACCCCAAAGATGAGTGTGTCCAAAAGTCGGTGATGTGGCCTACATCACCCCTCCCCCTTACCCCTACTCAAGTGAAGTTTTGGACAGTAGGGTTGCTGGAGGCTCAGGGGTTCCTCGCGGTATTTAATAATGGGGGAAACATTCGTGGGAGGTGTGGTCTTTTGTTTGGGGGTGGTTTTGATATTCCACAAAAACGTTTCTTCAGGCAGCAAGGGGCGTACTGTTAGGATACTGTGTAAGGATTCCCCCCTCCCAACCCCCCCCCACCCCCTGTGTATTTTCGCACCTCCATCTACCTGGAAGGTAGCTAGCTGCTCCAGCCCTTTTGGGGGAAGTGGTTTCACTACTGTGTATCACCCGAGAAAGCCACATCTTACTCAGTTTTCTTTTTTCGTTTTCTTACTCTCCACCCACAGCTTCTTTATTCCTGGCCTCCTTGCCCATTAAGGGACTGTTAAAATATTTGCTAACTTTGGGCTGGGAATGTAGCTCAGTGGGAGACCGTTTGCTTAGCATGCATTAAGGCCCAGTGTTTGGTCTCCAGCACCACTCAAACAAAAAAAGAAAAAAGAAAAAAGAAAGAAGAAAGAAGAAAAACACAAAACCTCCCCAGAAGCCAGGCATCCTGGCACATATGTGTCATTCCTGTCTTGTGAGGCTGAGGCAGGAAGATGGGCCCTTTGAGACCAGTCAGTGTCCATTATGTGTGTGTGAGAGATTGTCTAACCCAGACCCCACCAGTTTACTGACTTTTAATTGTGGTTTACATAATTTGTGCTAAGTGTATTAGAGTTATAATTTTAAGTACTGATATAATTTCCATACCTAGTATGCCTCTGAAAGGCCTATTTTTCTTTTTCTTTTTCTTTTTTTGCTTTTTAAGACAGAACTTCTCAGTATTTTTGTATTTTTATGTGACTATTTCAGAGATATTTATCAGCTAGAACAACTGTCCTCTTTGGTTTACTACTTGTACAAGATATCTGTTCCTCATTAAAGTTGCTTTCAAAGGAATTCATAAAAATGTTAATCAAATTTCCAGGTTTCTTTTTTAATGTAAAAATATGAAGATTAGGGGGAATTGAAGACAAGGCTTTGGAAAGACCACATTCCACAGCTTTCTTTTTAAAAACAGCGGATGGTCCAAATAATAGAACTTGTCATTTTTACTTTTTTTTTTTTTTTTTTCCACAGTTCATCTGACCGGGGTCTTATTTTGGGAACTATGTTGGCAGATGTTAAACTTCATTCTTTTGGTCTGGCTGCTTGTGCTAAAATTATTTTTTTTTAATTACTTAAAAAAAGAAAAAGAAAAAGAAAACAGGGACACTAAGTAGGGTGTATCTTGTGAGAGCCTGAAAAACATCCTTTATGAGTGGGTCCTCCTCTCCTCTCCCTGAGTGAGGAATACAGGGCACAGAATGTAGATGGCTTCCCCACTGCAATTGAGTCGAATCCTCTGGAATGTTTCTCGTTTGGGTGTTGGCAACTCCTAAATTTAATCTTCCTTAAAAACAAACAACCCAGGGTACCATTTTTTTTTTCCTCCCCTGTCTGTGGAATTTGAACCTTTTTTTTTTTTTTTTTTTTTTTTATTGAATAGGGAATTGAGGATTGCTTTCTTTTAGCGGTAACCATGGCTCTGTTTCAAGCTGTAGGACCCAACAAAACAAAGTCATATTTTACCACAGTGTCTAATTAGCAGGCATATTTCTCCTTCCCTTCATTTTAGAACAGTTGTCTTTTGTTTTTTTGTTTTTTTTAATTGTTTTAACAGTTGCAGAATATATATTGCAGAACGTTGAAGCTGAACCCTTTTCATATCTTTTAGGTTGTAGCTGTTTTAGAATTGCAAGTCATTTCTTCAAGTTTTGAGTAGTGAAAGCCACTTGATGAAGGGGTTCATGCACCCCTGTTTCTGGAAGTTGTAGTTTGTAAACTTTGAGATGCTACTAGTCTGTCAGTAGTGAAACAAAGATGTCTTTTTGTTTGTTTGTTTGTTTACTCTTGAGTGAGACTTCATTCCCACAGCATTCCCAAAGAAGTTTATTCATGATTGTCCTGGAGATCTCTACGTGGTTGAGTTGAGGCCAGCTGGGAATACATAGTGAAACCAGTACTCTCCTCCCCATCCCCCAAAATGTACACATTAAATATCCCTGTGATGTATTCATTCTGCCATTCTGCCTTCCACCAACTCACTTTATTAGTCTAGTGTGTTATTTATATTTCTGCAATAGCACCTGACTATAGCCAAACATCCCAGGATCAATGAGAGATAGTTTAGGGAGGAGATGGGCTAAAAGCTAAAACTACCCAGCAGGGGATAAGATACCGGCCAGGCACCCCCCCCCCCGACTTTTGGCACTTTCCACTTTTCCTGTGTGGTTAGCGACTAGCTCTAGTTGGGCAATGAGGACACGGGACCCTACCTGCCACTAGCATCTGTGTTTTCCGTATCCGACAAATGATCATTACGCCTGTGTTGGTTGCATGGTCTGAGCAAACTGGGCGAAACAGGAGTGAAGCAGTGTAGATCTGGAGAGAGCAAGGCCGGGATCTAGGAAGAAAGTGTGAGAACCCAGCACTGCCTTACCGCTGTGAGCTCATGGAGATGCAGCCTGCCGCTGGTGACTCACTGGCATATATATGTGTGTGTGGCATGATATATATATGTATATTTAAAGGGAAGAGATGGTTGAGCCGGGAGCAGGCGAGGGTAAGAACTTTTGGGTTGAGTCCTACTTGTTTCCATACCTGTATACCCCTCTCATGATCTCATGGATGTTTGCACACAAATGCAGTATTTGAAGTGTCAAAGTGTAGTGGTCCTTTCCTCTGACAAGCCTGTTGATATCATGTGCAGAACTTAAAATAAATGCTCCCCCTGCTGATTCTTGGCCCTCCCTGCCCTCCCTCCACTCCCATGTGATTTAATGGGTTTGGGATGGAGCCCAGGCATTAATATTTTTATAAACTCCCCATGAAGTTCTCATGTGAGTCAGGGTTAAGAGCCCTTGGGTCAGAGTCTGGGGATCCAGAAGTGGCTAGAACACAGGCATTGTCCCAAAGGTACTCCCACGTATACTTAGGAAACACAGGGAGAACGTTGAGTTAGCTTCGTTCCTAAGCAGTACACCTCTGCAGAGGAGGAAGAGGCAGGCATCGAGGGAGGGCTTCTGAGACAGCTGTCTGTCTGCTCTATTTGCAAAGCTACTACTGGATGACACTTGCCACAGAAACAGGATTGTTTCCTACGGAATGAGGGAGCAACGAAGACTTGGTTTATGTTTAAAGCCAATGCATATCTATTTAAGCTTTCTACTTGGCCAGTGGTTGGCTAAAGTGTGTAAAGGTCATTGCGGGCCTGTTATGTATCTTCTCAATCCCCATTGAGTGGAAAGTTAGAGGCTTAGTGTTCAAATGGTTCAAGATTATATAGATATAAACGTGACAGTTATTGTATACTGAGTAAAACAGATTGCATAACATTGATAGGTGTTTTAGTGTTTTTGTGGTATGGGTGTGTGCAAGAAAAAACCCCCAGATTTTTAAAGAATTACCCTCACATCATTTAGCGTATTTCCTGATGGTGTTGTTACTGTATAATTTGAACTCGGGCCTTCAAAGGTGAGGCTGGAGGTCATTTAATATAGATCATTTAATACAGACTTTCATGGGAGTACCATCGAGACAGCAGTTTTTCAGTGTGTTTGCTGAATGGTGCGTGGGGCGTGTTCTTCTTAGTGAACCTTAAACATCCAGGTAGATTAGGATGTGGCGTTTAGGGCATAGCAAACCGTATGTTCTAAGAGACCTCAGTGTTTATTACACACACCCCTGCCCCCATTCACACATCAAATGCTCTCTGAGTCATTGGCAGTGTCTGTCCTGATTCATCGCACAGAAAGGTAGACCTCCTGGAACGCAATGGGAATACCAAAAGGCATTTCTTATTTTTCTGGAGGGTGTAAGAATACCGATACAAAATGTTTTACACGTTTGACACGGTTGGTAAAGATTGGATCCTGCCTTTTCTCAGATTCCCTTGTCCTCCTTTAACATGGAGAGCTAGCTCCATGCCCCAGGAAAGGCTTCTCTAAAAGTGTGCATTGTGGGGCTAGGGACCTGTCCCATTGCTCATGGCTTGAGTGCTTGTTAGCATGCACAAGGCCCTAGGTTTGCCTCCCAGCAGAGAAGAAAGAGTGGGCAGTCCTGTTCTTTCATTGTATGCCAGGGCTGTGTTCTGTAAGTGCTTTTATATATAGTCTCACCTGGAGTTTTCTTTATGCTCTGTCTGGGACCTGTGGTTGGCTAGGTTGGCTAGGTCCGCTCAGTAAAGGGCAGTGGCATTCAAACTGTCACAAGGTAATAACTTTTAAGTAATTTAATACTAATCT